TAGAGACCCCAGAGAAGGTGTGAAGGCCCAGAGAAGGTGTAAAAGCTCCAGACAAGGTAAGGAAGCTCCAGAGAAGGTGAAGAAGTCCCAGAGAAGGTGTGAAGGCCTCAGAGAAGGTGTAGAAGTCGCAAATGAATGAATGTGTGAAGTCCCTAGAGGTGTGGAAGTCTCAGGGAAGGTGTGAAGGCCCCAGAGAAGGTGTGAAGACCTCCAAGAAGGTCTGAAAGACCCAGAGATGTTGTAGAGACCCCAGAGAAGGTGTGAAGGCCTCAGAGAAGGTGTAGAAGTCGCAAATGAATGAATGTGTGAAGTCCCTAGAGGTGTGCAAGTCTCAGGGAAGGTGTGAAGGCCCCAGAGAAGGTGTGAAGACCTCCAAGGAGGTCTGAAAGACCCAGAGATGTTGTAGAGACCCCAGAGGTGAAGGCCCCAGAGAAGGTGGGGAGGTCCCAGAGAAAGTATGGAAGCCCCAGAAAAAGTGTAGAAGCCCCAGAGAAAGTGAGGAAGCCCTAGAGAAGGTGTGAAGGCCCCAGAGAAGGTGTAGAAGTTCCAGATGAATGAATGTGTGAAGTCCCTAGAGGGGTGCAAGTCTCAGGGAAGGTGTGAAGGCCCCAGAGAAGTTGTGAAGACCTCAAAGAAGGTCTGAAAGCCCCAGAGAAGATGTAGAGACCCCAGAGAAGGTGTGAAGGACCCAGAGAAGGTGTGAAGGTCTCCAAGAAGGTCTGAAAGCCCCAGAGATGTTGTAGAAAATGTTGTAGAGACCCCAGAGAAGGTGTGAAGGCAACAGAGAAGGTGAAGAAGCCCCAGAGAAGGTGTAGAAACCCCAGAAAAAGTCTGATGGCCCCAGAGAAGGTGTGGAGGTCCCACAGAAGGTCTGGAAGCTCCAGGAGTTGCCACCCAACCCCCTCCCATGGCCCTTCCCCGATTTCCACCCCTGTCCCTCGGCCCTTGCTCCCACCGCGTCCCTTGGCCCCATCAACTCCTCCATGGCTTGGAGCCCATCAAAGATTAACCCTGGGAGGAGAACCTGCTGACCCAGGCAGGACCCGCTCTCCTCCTCCTCCTCCTCCTCCTCCACCACCACCTTTGAGTCCCTTTTTTCCACCACTTCCCTGGCTAAATTTTAACCCGTGGGCTCTGTTGAGGATCAGATGTTGGCCTAGACCTTGAAGACCTTTCCCCACCCCCAAGGTCAACCCTTCCCCCTCCTCCATGACCTTTCCCCAACCTTTTTCTCCTCCAAACACCAACACTGTGAAAAAACTCCTTCCAAATTTCCATTATCCTTCATCCTCTCCTAAATTCCTCCAGATTTTGAGGGAGATTTGACCCTTCAAAACACCTTTTTTTGGTTTTTTTTTTTGTTCTCCTCCACCTCAGCCAACTTCACGTTGCACTTTTGCCTTTGGCTGTTGGAAACCCATCAAAAAAACCCCAACAAACCAAACCCCCCTGAGATGTCAACCATTAACCCAAGCCAGACTGGGATGGGTTATATAGGAACCCACCTGGAGCTGCTGGTGGGACAACACCCCCAAGACCATCAGGAGAGACACGTTGAGGGTGAAGTGCCACCAGTTGGTTGGCTCTGCATGGCTGTGGAGCATTCCTGGCCTCTCGTGGTGGCACCATGGCCTTTGCCAACCTCTTGGAGCAGGTTGGAGGAATGGGTCGTTTCCAGGTGCTCTCGGTGCTCCTCCTGTCCTTACCTGTCCTGATGATGGCAAGTCACAACCTTCTGCAGAATTTCACAGCTGCCAGCAGTGACCATCGGTGTCGGCTGCTCTGGGAGGACAATGCCACCAACCTCAGCCCTGAGGACCTGTTGAAGGTCTCAGTTCCCCAGGGGGAGAGGTGCAGGCGTTTCGTGACACCTCAGTGGTGGCTTTTGGAGGTCAATGGGTCAACTTCCAATGCTTCTTGGCCGGAGACGGAGCCTTGTCACGATGGTTGGACCTACGACCGGAGTGTCTTCACCAGCACCATCATCACCGAGGTAGGATGGTGGCAAGGACAGGGTGGAAGGGTTTGGGGACCCAACTCTACGTGTAGAGGCATCAAGGAAGGGTCAACCACCATCACCATGTGGACATCTCCCAGCTGGAGCATCTTCCCAGCTCAAGTTTTGGTGGAGACACTCCATGCCATGAGCTGAGGAGATGTGGGAGTTGGTGCCCATCAACAAGGGGGTCATGAGTGGGCAGAGCAGCCTTAGCTGGACCTTCCAACCATGGGGTTGCTGGGAAGGGTGGCCAAGAGAACTGGCCCTTGGTCATTCGTTGACCAAACTCTGGGGGTTCCACACCTTCTCTGGGACCTTCTACACCTTCTCTGGGACATTCTACACTTTCTTTGGGGCCTTCACACCTCCTCTTGGGCTTCCACACCTTCTCTGGGGATTCTACACCTTCTCTGGGTTCTTCACACCTTCTCTGGGGATTCTACACCTTCTCTGGGACCTTCTACACCTTCTCTGGGACCTTCTACACCTTCTCTGGGACATTCTACACTTTCTTTGGGGCCTTCACACCTCCTCTTGGGCTTCCACACCTTCTCTGGGGATTCTACACCTTCTCTGGGTTCTTCACACCTTCTCTGGGGATTCTACACCTTCTCTGGGACCTTCTACACCTTCTCTGGGACCTTCTACACCTTCTTTGGGACCTTCTACACTTTCTTTGGGGCCTTCACACCTCCTCTTGGGCTTCAA